TTGGAAATAAATATACAGAACAAGTTTACACGCCTCGTCTGTTCTATATAGAATCGAAGAACAACGCAGTTCCAAAAATCTTTCGAAGAATCTGCAAAGGCTCAGCCACCTGACGTCGGTGTGCAGCAGTAGAGCAATGTGGTCTGCACCTGCCTCCTCGAGCTGGGCACGGAATAAACACCTCTGAAAACTCCCAGCCCGAACAGAGCAAGCGATCTTTATCGCAATGTCCATGACATGCTTCATATTTAAAATATTGCCGTACAGCTGTTGCTGAATGGTGCAGTGGTTGATCCAAAAAATCTGGGAAAGTTTCAGACAGCTTAAACAGAGCAACGCATCCAGCAGTGCGCCCAACCATAGATGGAGCCACATCAGTTGTGATGGATGTCATTATTTCATTATCTCTTCAGATTCCTCTTCGCGCTTTAGAGTCCCTGGTAACAACCTAGCAACCGTGGCAAACCATGCCCAGCAATCAGCATGCATAAAAAAAGTTTCCCTGCATACTTTTTACTTTTCATTTTATTATTATGAAAATAGACGTTGACCTCTTGTGATCAATGATTTGATTAGTACTTTTTAAAACTTTTTTTTTTTTTTTTGTCATAGCCATAAATAGGTCTACATTGTAAAACTTCTCGCGATCGACTGAAACTCCACCCGCGATCGACTGGTAGATCGCGATCGACTGGTTGGGCACCACTGCTCTAATGCCTCTTTAAGAGGATGGGACTAACCATAACAGTCCATGTTTTGTCTGAAATAATAGTTTGGCCTAAACAAGCACACAAATCATGATGATCTCTGAAATATTTTCTTTTTTTTTTTACTGACGCTGTTTATTTAAAGTCATATTCAATAGAAAACAATGTTTTTGAAAAGTGAATTTTACAGCGACGGATTTATTTAAACCTTTATTTCTGTTCTTTCATTTTATTCAAACAACTTTAAAATATATAACGGAGAAAGGAAAATAAAGTCGGATAAATTGTTATTTTTTAAATGGGAATTGGCTAAAAAGTATGCTAATGCATACTAATGCTCCATCAGCTCCATTATGCTAACAAATTAATTCATTGAATAAAAATGTTTATTATGTCTGTAGGATAGGACATATTTGGCTGGTAAATAAGATATTTAAACATTCCCTCTTTTTTGCTTGTTTCTTTATTCATTACCTTTTTATTTTGAGACCCTGAATTAATTTTTTTTAATTAAGATGAGATTAGCATCTCTGAATCTGTTGTGGGGATGGCTAATATCTTTGCTTCAACACACAAGCTTACTCAACTGTTTTTCTAAAGGGCGAAAATTAAATTTGGATTTCAATTATGAGACACTTCCATAGAGGAGAAGGAATTAAATTAGAAAATGCAAATCTTACTCAACAGTCCAAATGTTCCTCCACTCCTTTTTTGATTCAATGATGATTTACCTCCAGAGCAGGGCTTTGAACACGACGACCAGCTCTTCAGAGCCCACTCATAGGTATCATCCTGAATGACATTGTTGTTGTTGACTGGAACAGAGTCTTCATGGATGATGTACTTGTACATTAAAGTGGATCGGGTTTCATTGTCCTTGGGTACAATCTACAAACCAGGAACAGAATAGACAAAGTCTGAATGTTATAACCTGATTTTCTATTCAGCAAACCTGCAATAAAATACTAGTGCTGTTCAATTAAACTGTGGATAATTTTAAAAGATGGGGTGGATGGGCAGGATGGTTCATTGCATTGCCTCTTAACGTAACTGGCTCCAAAATAAATAGGCAATTATAGCAGAGGAAAGCTTGATTTTAGCTTGACCTAAGTGGCAAGGTATTGTTAATTCATGATAAAATACATATAATCCAACTAATTGTTGTTTTTCTTCATGGGGGGGAGATCATGTCCAATTAATAAGAAACCTTTAATTTTATCAATCCCTCTGTTACAAATAGAATGTGAGATCAAGACCTTTTTCTATTTATGTGAAATGTTTTTAATACATCAGCACATCACCAAAGATCCCAATAAGTTTAAGATGAGCTGTAAAAAAGTTAAAGAGATGAAACATGTATTTTAAGATGTTGCATTTTACTCTAGGAAAGGATGACTCGACTTCTAGTTATAAAAACACCAAATCTAAAATGTCTTTTCCACAGCATCTCTAATACAGCCTGCAGACTTTTCACTAATTGAATACACTCACCAGAACCACCACAGGGTCATGCAGAGGTCCATCAGTGTGCAGCGTCTCCACATCTCCCTCAATGATGTAGTGCCACTCCACGCCAAGGTCAATGAAGCTCCTGGACTTTAGCTGGTCTCCCTTCCCGTTAAGGATGTAATGTCCAGTTGCCTGGTTCTTGATTGCTGCAATCAGTCATTTGTTGTGGGAAATTGTGAGACCAAAGAAATGTCAGAAAACAACTTTAGTAGATTTTATATGCAATACACACTGTACTGTATATATGTATATAGGCTGCCCCATTGATCAATTCTCACTAAATGTGCTCTTTATCTTAGTTAATAGGTCTGCTTGTTATCACTGCTCCCAATTAAAATAATTACTTTCAAATTGAACATCTTAACTGAAAAAATATTGAGCTTTATTAAAAAGACTCACAAACAATCAGTGTAAGGACTGTTATTATCTGGTGCTGACATACTAAGAATTAGCAACAGAAACACATTTTAAAATGCATGACTGTATAATTACATAACCATATAATCTTCTTGCCACCAGTGCAGAGCTTACTCATTGGCAATAAGTTATTGTTAATACATCCACATGGCAAAGTCTAATAGACAACAACGTGGTAATAAGAAGGTCAGAGGATACTCTCCTTGAGAACAGAAATGTCAGTGGGTGTTTACGTATTGAGTCATGTTGATGAGGGATAGGCCAAATGTGAAGGACAGCAGAGTGTCTCTTTAAGGCAATTGCTGATTCATTGTGATCTGTTTGCCCACAGAAATAGACTTATGCTAAAACATGTCAGACTTTTTCTGAGGTTTTCAGACCTTCATCATGTCCATGAAGTATTTTAATATTATTAGGGTTACTAGTTTTTTTTTTTTTTGATTTTGTTCATTTTAAGTTACAGAACCGTTTTTGTTCTAAATCCTTGTTTGAAAAGATGGGATATTCTAGCATTTTTTATTTTCTGATTGTAAAATTCACAGTTTTTACCTGTTTTTAGTGAGATAAATAAAATATGAGTGCAAATATTAAGTAGAAAAAAATGTACTGTGCTAGCAATATAGTTGAGACAGTTGAACTACTTAGGGATTAGGGATTAAATGCCAGATCAAGTTAAAAGAAGGCTACAGAAGGGAGAAGGAAAAAAAATAGTTTTGTATACAGATAAATGATAAAACATGTTTTTCTATTTTCTTATACAAAAACTTGCCTGTATTGTTTGGCCCTATTGATGAGTAAATTGTTTTCAATAATGTTTTAAAATAAGGAACTATCAGACTGAACGGTATCAAAAAATTCTTTTAAAGCTTAGTATTTTTTTTAAACATTTTTAAATTAGTTATTTTGAATGAAAAATAAATTGCTATAGGTGAAAAATATGTAGCGTGCTATATCTTTTTTGTTTGGACACCAACGGCTTTTTACTTGAGACAGTGAAAGAAGCTCTGTGTTCTTTAAATCTCAGCGAGGTGATTTATTTTCACTGGAATAAACAACATGTTGGAACTTCCCAATACACACTACCTCCGGTTTCTGGCTGTGCTGTTTTTCACCTAAAATGTTGTTATGGGGAAGAATTTAATGAGCACCTGCACAATAATTTGTTTATAAAATATAAATAAATAAAGTCCTTCTAAGCTTGTATGTTAAAATCCCACAGTTTGATGTAAGTTCTCATTAGTCAGCACCAGAGAAAACAGTCCAAATTATTCCATTAAAATAAGCAGTTTTCTTTCTTGAGTGTGCTAATCTCACTGTAAGTTTAGGGCTATATATATATATATA